CACACACACACACACACACACACACACACACACACACACATACACTACTAATCTATCATGGACTTTTTAACCCGCCTGCATCACCACATCAATGATTGGTAAAATCAGCACATCTGCCTTTAAAGGGAACCCCTGCCAGGAAACCAGCCTCCCTCTTCGTTACGTCATCATCATCATCATCAGTGTCCCGACCAATTGCTGCCACCGCCTGCAGTCCTTCATAGCCCCCCGTCTTTCACAGGAATCCAAACATGTTCTGACCAAACAGCTCCCTTCATTCCCCTCCAATCTCTACTCCGTCAATTTTTAAAAWATATTTTAATCATTCCTCGCTGTTTCTGCTCCGGCTTCGTTTGTTTTCAGACATAACTGTTTTATTTATGGTGAAGTTAGAGTGCTTTCAGACAACTACTTGTGTAGCGCGTGTGAGAATCGATCCAACCCCACCCCCCAAACTAAAGGATAACACTGTGTTAATATGTATAAAATATGAATAATTAAAAGGTTTTAGAAACACTACAGTTTTGATCAGTTGTAAATAGCTCAGCCCTGTGTTCATACGTGACGTTATGCTCATGATAGAGTATTTGGCATCCTGTACGGCTTAGTTCATAATGTTTGCATATCTAATGTGTGCTGGCAGATTTTTAACAGAGGTACTGTATCGGTCCAACGTGTTTCTTTGGGGTTTTAGTGAGAGAATTCACTGTTTCGCCCTTTTTGTTATCTTCGAATGTAACCTGTCTAGTTTCAGAGATAATGTATGTGAATAAAAGTGTTTGAGAAAGCTGCTGAGGTGCTCGCTGCAGAAAACGCGCACAATCACGTGCCTTCAGGCGTTCACAACTGTGACCAACCACGTGTGGAGAGGCCTCAGCGGGAGGCAGCTGCACAGTAATGCAATTAAAGGCCTATTATTCCATGAAGTAAAGCATATCACCTGCTGCCTTTCACGTTTTTAACCAACATCGTTTAAGATGAGGAATGTAGCCATTTTGATCAAACTATGTTGTGTACAATCGAGATTTGGGCACAGCTTGTGAGATGTTAACCTCTTAAAGGAGACAGATAGCTTATTTTCAACATTTAAATCCTTCAGTTGGGGTCTATATAAAGAGGAACTGCAATGCTTTGATCTGAATTCCTCCTTATTGTAACTCCACAAGCCCCTCTTTCACCTTTTTTTTGAGGTGTGTCTCAGATCGACTCGTTTTGAGGCTGTCTCTTTAAATCCAAATGAGAGGCTTCACACCCCGCCCCCTCCAGCTTCCAGACTGGTCCATTCTAGTTTGATATAAGGGTTTAACGACTATATAGCGGCGCAGAAACATTTTATTTACAAATGAATTAAAAGATGTCAACTAGGGCTGCCACAAACAATTATTTTTATAGTCAACTAATAACCAACTATTTTTTGATTAGTTGACTAAACAGATCATACGTTAATTAAAAATAAAACATACAGCTTATTGCACCAGAATGCAGCTGCTATAATATAACCATGGTTAGATTTTAGCTATATGCTAACTAAAAACAACTGCCTTGGAAGGCAAGTTCTGCCTTGCAGATATTGCACAGGTTTCTCTTTCATTTTCTTAAAATGATCCCACAATTTTGAGCTCCATTGCCAGGTAGCCATGATACCAG